ACTTGTTAGCCCAGGCTGGCCTCGAACTCACAGAGATCCGCCTGGCTCTGCCTCCCGAGTGCTGGGATTAAAGGCGTGCGCCACCACCGCCCGGCTCATACTTGGTTCATCTTGATACGGGGAAGAGTGTTCATCGGCCGTGTGCAAAGGGTGTAATAGGTAGAGTGTTCATCGGCCGTGTGCAAAGGGTGTAATAGATAGCTTGCACCAGCCCCTGATGTTCCTCACTACCTGGCACTTGCGTTCTCAGACAGTTTCAGATTCAGAGCTGGTGGGCAGACCCAACTAGACATGGCAGAGGACAGTGTGGGATTGTGAGTTCGGATTGGAATAGGTATTGAATAGGATTGCTCACTTTGCCAGGTTCTGGCCCCCATAGTCTGAGGGCATTCAAGCATCCCAGTGGAGATTTTCACAAGTAGAGGTCGCCCCAAGGCTTCCTACAATCACCATGCACCAATTTACAAGCTGAGTGAACCACCGTGGAAGCCATCTTCCATCCTCAGTCACTGTGGCAAGTGGGTAAGAGCCTAATAAGAGACCCTGAGCGAGAACTGATCAGATAAGCCACTCCCCAATTTCTGACCAGAAGAGCTATGCAAGAGACTGCATGTTTATTGTTTATTTCACTAAGATTATTTTTTTTGAGGAAGGGGCTAGTTTGTTATGAAACACTAAGTCACAGAGTGCTGGGTGCAAACACCCATTTTGGCAGAAGGCTGGGATGTAACATGTGGCACTCTGTTGAGGGGAATTTGTAGCTAGAGTTTTCTTGCCTGGCCCACAGTCAGGACAAATCTTTGTCATCAGCCAGTCCCACAGCCACACAGACCCAACCAAGTAAACACAGAGACTTATATTGCTTACAAACTGTATGGCCGTGGCAGGCTTCTTGCTAACTGTTCTTATAGTTTAAATTAATCCATTTCCATGAATCTATACCTTGCCACATGGCTCGTGGCTTACCGGCATCTTCACATGCAGCTTGTCCTGGTGGCGGCTGGCAGTGACTTCTTCTGCCTTCCTGTTCTTTCTTTTCTCCTCTGTTAGTCCCGCCTATACTTCCTGCCTAGCCACAGGCCAATCAGTGTTTTATTTACTAACCAATCAGAGCAACACATTTGCCATACAGAACATCTCACAGAAGGAATTTTAAGAAGCTAACTCAGAGTTTGTGCTGTCTGCAGATGAGAGACTCGGGACATCAGCGGCAGGCCTTAGGGACAAAGTGGAAGAGGGTAGAGGCTGGGGGCGACTCCTGCTTTGGAAATTTAGAACTACTTGGAAAAAAATACTATTTTTTTTTTTTTAAATTTTAAGTATATGTATGTTTTGCCTGCATGTATATCTGTGTACCACATATGTGCCTAGTACCTGTGGAGGCCAGAAGAGGGCATCAGATCCCTTGAAATAGGAGTTACAGATGGTAGTGCTCTACCATGTGGGTCCTGGGAATTGAACCTGGGTCCTGCAAGAGCAACAAGTGCTCTTAACCACTGAGCCATCTCTCTGGCCCCAGGGTTAGCTGCTTTGAAGGCAAAGCTGTGCTTGAATGTTTCTCATGAGTTTTGCTGTGGGGTGATCATTGACAGGGTTGATAGCCAACAGGCTCTCAGCAGGGCCGAGGAGACCTCAGCAGAAAGGGTGTAGACGTGTGCTGCCTGGTGCCCGGGGATCGAGTGAAGAACAGCAGTGAGCAGTGAGGGAGGAGGGGCCTCCGTTAGGGTCAAGAACTCGGGTGAGAGGAAGCACCTTCGAGCTCAGAGACCGTGAGCCGACCGACCGGCAGAGGAAGAACTGTCTGGGTGTTGGGCAGCGCCCCACAGGGCTCCCCAGGCAGTGGAGAATGACCAGTCGGGGGGTGAAAAGTAGGGGAAAGGGGCAAGGAGCCGCCCCTTTCCTCACTTTTCTAGGTTCAAGTCTGAAGAAAGAGGCTTCATGCCAGGTTCATACTTTCAAGCATGAGTTGTGACGGGATATTTTGATGACGTGATTATAGGATTAAAAGTGATAGGTGGGCGGGGTGCACAGCTCAGCTGGTAAGAGCTCCTGCTGCCATGCCTGACAGCCTGGGTTCAAACCCAGGGATCCACATGGCGGAAGTCGAGAACTGATTCCCGAAATTGTCCTCTGACCTCCACATATGTGCTGTGGTACAAGCACCCACACAGATACACACACATGCACACAAAATAAATACGATGTTATCAGAAGTAAAAATGGCAGGAAGGAGCTTAGGAGGAGGCTCAGTGATAGAGCAGAGTGTGCCCTAGCATGTGTAGGTAGGGGCAGTGCCCAGCACCACTACCAAACAGAAACAGACAAATCGTTCCAGAAAGACAACCAGACAAAAGTCATGTGTGTTTGAAATCCCCCGTGGACAGAAGATGAGTGCTTTTCCAACAGAGCTTCAGGGTTGTGGGGGATGGGAAAGGCCCAAACTGATTCCAGCATGGCACTCGGCCGGTCGCAGATGTTTCTTTAGAAGCCTCCTGGCTTCTGTTGACATGCTGTCTCAGCACAGCTCTGCCTGCGCCCTTCCTTCCTCTTGAGACCATGGAAACGTTAGCTTTGTGGAAATACTAGGGGTTCCTCCCTATCTTTTGCTGTAACTTTCCAGGGGCTTCTTCTTCTCTTCCAATTCTTGCAAAACATGTTACCAGGACCAGGAGTGCTGTGCATGCCTGTAATCCAGCTCTCAGGAGGTAGAGGCAGGAGGATCCAGAGTTCAAGGTCAGCCTCAGGTACAGAGGGAGTTTAAGTCTGGCCTGGGCTACGAGGCATGGTCCCAAAAAACCAACCAAACAAAAATGTTACCTACCATATGTAAATAGTGAAGTGTTCCTGATTTCCTTTCTTCTGTTGTTTTGTTCTGTTTTTTGTTTGTTTGTTTGTTTGTTTTTTCCAAGACAGCTATTCTGTGTGTAGCTTTTGAAGCCTATCCTGGGACTTGCTCTGTAGACCAGCCTGGCCTCGAACTCACAGAGATCCACCTGCCTCTGCCTCCCAAGTGCTGGGATTAAAAGCGTGCACCACCACTGCCTGGCCATTCCTGATTTTTTTTTTTTTTGGCAATAAAATTTTTTAAAAGATTTACTTCTTATGTATATGAATTTCTTGCCTACATGTATGTGTATGTGCTGTGTGCATACCTGGTGCACACAGAGGCCACAAGAGGGTCCCAGGAACTAGAGTTATGGACTGCCATATGGCTGCCGGGAACTGAACTGGGGTCCCCTGCAAAGCAGCAAGTGCTCTTAACTGTAGACGAACTGCTCAACGGTCTTACTAATAAAAAACTCGGAGCCAGAAATTGGGGTTAAAGCCTGTCTACCCACACCTACATGCCTTCTGTTCTCATTTGTTCTCTCAGCCCAACTACATCACTTCCTCTTCCTGCCCATCTCTGTCACTTCCTGTCTGCCTGTACAGACCTCCAGACCTCTGTGGTTAGTGCTGGCATTAAAGGCAGGTATCGGTATGCCTGGCTCTGTTCCCAGGCCTTGAAGTCACAGAGATCCAGACAGATCCCTGCCTCCCAAGTGATAGGATTAAAGGCGTGTGCTACCATTGCCTGACTTCTTCGTTAATATAGTGGCTGGCTTTTTCCTCTGATCCTCAGGTAAATTTTATTGGGAGACACAATGTATTGGGGGATATGATAGATCACCACACTTAACTGCTGAGAGCTCTCTCTCCAACACTTTTGTTTTGTTTGTTTGTTTTTTGCTTTTCTTTTTTAAAGAAATTCTTCTAATATTTTGTTTGGCTATGACTTTTAATATATATTTATTTTGGGATGAGGTCTCACTATATTGCCCAGGTTTTCCTTAAATTAGACTCAAGAGATCCTCCTGCCCCAGCCTCCTACAAAGCTTGGGACTTCCAGTGTGTGCTGCTGTACCCAGCACATGTTCCTATTTTTCAGTCATCACTGTAAACACCTGTGGTGGTTTGAAAGAAAATGGCTCCCAAAGAGAGCGGCACTATTGGGAGGTGTGGCCTTGTTGGAGTAGGCCTTGTGGGAGGAAGTGTGTCACTGTGGGGGTGGCTTTGAGGTCCCTTTTCCTTAAGCTTCGCTTAGTGTCACAGTCCACTTCCTGTTGCCTGCAAGAAGTAGGACTCTCAGCTACTCCTCCAGCACCAGACTCATGCATATAATCCCAGTGCCCTGGAGACTAAGGCAGGAGGATTGCCATGAGTTCAGGCTCACCTGAGCTAAGAAGTGAGACCCTGTCTTAGCCCCAAAAGTAATTAAGACAAAGCCTCAAAAGCAAAGTTTCTCTGTCCTTCTGCCCTCCTGTGTCCTGTGCCTCTGT